AGCCCGGCTGCCTCCCCGACTGGCACCTGCTGTCCCTCTTCGGCGTCGGAGCGGTGTTCATGCGCGGGGCCGGCTGCACCATCAACGACATGTGGGACCGCGACTATGACAGAAAGGTAGAGAAACCCGCGGGGGCTTGCAAAGGCTTGGGAGGCGAATCGCTGTTAACTGACCAAGTGCGTGTCTGCTCATCGCCCGCATCACCGGCGATTCCTTCCCGAGTACAGGCAGAGAGCTACAGCCTCGGAAATTCCTCCAGGTTTCTGTCTGAGATGCGTGCAATTAATTTGTCTGAGTTTCCTCCTAGAAACAGTGGAATTGTGGATGCCCCATAACTGGAAGTGTTCAAGGCCAGGCTGGATGAGGCTTTGAGCAACCTGGTCTAGTGGAGGGTGTCCCTGCCCATGGCAGGGGGGTTGGAACTAGATGGTCTTTAAGGTCCCTTCCAACCCAAACCATTCTGTGATTCTATGATCCTATGTTGTGTTTTTCATCTCCCTTTTGCTCAGAGAAGGGAAATAAGCAAAAGGCAGTGCCCAGTGTCAGATGTTGAAACATGGAGACTATACTGGTGGTACGTCACTGCTTGCTTGGCCTGTTTTCTTTTCCTATATTGTCCCCCTGGTTTTAGGTTTTGGCACTGTCAGGAGACAGGATAATGAGTCAATCCAATATGGGAAGTTCTTCTTACAGCACTCTTGCGTTTTGGAAAGGCAGTAAATCAGTACAGGTTTTGTGGCAGCTTTGGATGGTTTAGGGGGTTACTAACAACTACATATGCTAAAAATATTTGACAGGGTGGGGTGTGTGATTAGTAAGATGGAATTTTCAGTATAATTAATTAATCTATGCATCAATGTGATGTGGTTAGAGGTAAAGTTTTGAAAATTCCCATCGCAGCTCTTTCTTACCTTAAAAGCATATATATGTTCAAAACAAGTGCAGTAGAGGCCAGGTCGATAGCAGGATGTTGGTTTGTGTTGGTGATAGTGGTTTGGTCTGTTAGATTTCATGTTACTGATTATTTGGCAAATGTCTCCTTTAAATGAAACATCCCGTGTTTGGTTACCATGTGCAGTGGAATTGGTCACAGGTATGTTAAGCACATGTTTAAACAGCAAAAGCAGCATTTGATGTTTAACATAACCTGATTGGTTGGAGGGGGAACAAATCAAAGGGTCTACTTAAATTCACGTTATTAAAGCAGATGCAGAACACTTTATACATAGTATTCTGTACAAAGCTGGCTTTCAGATCTCTTCAAATAGACCACTATTTTCATCAACATGCACAACTTGTGTCTTTTTTTTCTCTTGGCAGTGGTCACCTTTGGCAAGTAACTCGCCCTACGTTTCAGTTTAACCTTTTTCTGACATTTCTTTCTTCCTTCCGTTTGCCTTGTGTGATTTCTTGTTCCAGACAGAGTTTCTAAACTCCAGTGCATCCTGACTAGGGTTAAATTAATTGTGCTTTCATGGCTCTATGTGCTAGAGGAGCCCTGCATCTTTACATTTTTTTACGTGGTAAACACTTAAAAGTATTTAAGCACAGTAGTTATGCTCAAAATTGGGATAGTTAGCTCACAGTTTTTTAAGTCTTGATTTTCCCCGCCCTCCTCCCCCCGCCCTCAAGGTAATGAAATTCATACACAAGGTGTCTGCAGTGTTTCTCATCAGCCTCACTGCACACAAGTGGCACTATATTCCTGCTCGGCTTTTTAAAGCCTTCACACTCCCATTGTAAACGCCACTGCTGAGAAATGCAGCTCATGTCCCTGATGATATGCTAGGTTTGTATCATTGAAGCAACCCCGTCTCGTATATTCTGTGACCTGTTTCTGTTTATTTTTCTGCTTATATGCCAATGGTGTGGCTTTTAGTTTTAAGATACAGTGGAATGTGTTATGTTGGATTTGGTATTAACATTATTCTTTCCATTTTTAGGTTGCAAGGACAGCAAGTAGGCCCCTGGCAGCTGGAGATATCTCCATTTTTCAGTCCTTTGTTTTCCTTGGGGGACAGCTTAGCTTGGCGCTTTGTGTGCTTCTGTGTCTGAATTACTATAGGTGATGTATAATTTACCTTTTGTTTTTTGAATTTTTATTACAGGTCTGGAGTTAAGCACAGAGATTTATCAGCAGAAAAGGTGTTGGGGGCAGAGGGAGGAGGTTATTAGTCATGGGATTGTACTTGAAAGAATTAGTTCAGTACTACGTACAGCTCCTGTAACACTGCACTGTATCTTGTGATCTTTAGACTGGCAAGCAATAAACCTCTTAGTACTTTTTACAGTATCGTTCTGGGAGCAGCCTCTTTGGCTCTTGTGATCACCTACCCTCTGATGAAGAGAATAACATATTGGCCACAGTTAGTTTTGGGTGAGCTGGAAATATTTTTAATTAGTAATTGAACTTCAGCAGTCTGATTTTTTTTTTTTAATAACTTTATATAAAAATAACAATGCATTACAAAGTTCTGTTACGCCAGAAGCTTCCTAAACAATTTATAACACATATAAATGTTGATGTGTGGGTTTGGGGTTGGGGGTTTTTTTTGTTGTTAAAACAGTGCCTCATTTTGACAGAGCGAGGAAAGGAAGGAGAAAATAAGTATTTGTCATTTGAGAATCAGCTTTAGTTTCAGGGTTGTCTTGAAACCTTTCTTAACCATGCACTTGTCCTGAGTTTCAGTCTTCAGCCTCTAAAACAACTCCTGTGCAGAAACAGGTGGTGCTTGAATTTCAGGTAGAGTTGCTAAAATATATCTTTGTATCTTGGCCTTCACATTTCAGCTGCCTTCAGCTTTTTCAACCAAAATTGTCAGCCTTGAAGTACTGTAGTTGGCTGCTCTGCACTCTGTTACAGTCAGTTGTACTGACATCTAAGCATTTTAACTTCAGACCCATTGTTTGAGTACACTGGAATAGTTCTGTGCAAATGTTTCCCTATGCTAATGAAGTATAATTTAAATTGGGGAAAAAATTTGTGGATATACATATTTCTCCTTGTATGTCCAGAGTATTTAATGTCAAATTACTTGTATTTATTATCTGCCTGAAAATAAGTGGTAGAAAAATAGAGTTGCCAGTATTGTACGAAAAGCCGCTGATAGGATACATGCTGGAACAAATAATGTTTAATTCTATACATGTAATTTAGATTGCTCCAGGCCATCTTGTAACTTTTCTCCCTTTTTTTAATTTTTCCTTCTCTTTCTTTATGTTTTTAGGACTTACATTTAACTGGGGAGCCCTTCTTGGCTGGTCTGCTGTCAGAGGGTCATGTGAGTGGGCTGTGTGTTTGCCCTTGTACTTAGCCGGAGTAATGTGGACGCTGGTATATGATACCATTTACGCACATCAGGTAGTGGGAAATTTCAGATATCTGTGTGTGTTTGTGTGTTTCATCTACAACCTCTTGTCAAACAGCAGTAGTAACCTGTTGCGGTTCTTCGCCTTCCACTGCACTGAAACAGCACCAAACAAACCCAGCCCTTGTACCTTTTATTGCTGCTGGTAAATGTATCCAGTAGAGAGCTGGAAGTGTAATGCACTTTGTGTGCTTATGCTTTTGTGTTGTGTAAATAACTTTGACCTTGGTATTAGCTTTTGGCAGCTAAAACAGCTCTAGGGACCAACCTGCTAATTTAGATTTTAATGTAGGGACTTACAAATGCACTTGAATTGGGTTCTTAATAAAAGGTCTTGGATCCTTAAGCAAGACACACACACACCCCCTTCTTTTTTCTCGTATGAAGTGGCAGCTGGATTGTGGACTTTCGCTGATTCATCCTTTCATCGCAGGATAAGAGGGATGACATCGTTATCGGTGTGAAGTCAACAGCATTACAGTTCAAGGAGGACACGAAACAGTGGCTCGGTGGCTTCAGCCTTGCCATGCTCCTGAGTCTGTGCGTGGCAGGAATGAATTGTAACCAGACCTTCCCCTATTACTCAGCTGTGGCTGCCATTGGGGCTCACCTAGCGCACCAGGTTTGATGGATTTATTTATATTTTTCCCATGTGGGAGTTCTTGATAAGAAATCAGAGTGCTTTTCAACCCACATCAATTTGCCAGCTACCTAAAAACCCCAGTTGCTGTAAAGAGAACTGAGGTCATCTTATAAGTACCTTTTGCAGACCTCTTGTTTGAAGAGACCTCCGGTGGTCCAAGACTGTAGAGCACTGGTTTTCAATCAGTGCCTTACAAAAAACTACCTCGTGTTAAGCTGTGATCTCAAGGGAGTGTTTTTCTTCTCGCTTCCAGCAGCAGCTGCAGCTAGATCCACCTCAATACCCTGCACAGATGTGCCGTTTTTACTGTTCTGATACAGCTCTTGCCCTGTCTGATGCATATGGTGGTTGTTCATTTACTTTAAGAGATTATCTGGTCTGCAGTATCAAGGGCACCTGCAGGCTTTTCTGGTTTTTCTAACATGCAGTACAGTACCTATATTAAAATGAATGTCGCGTGTTCTGTCTCTCAGAGGTGGCTAATTTTACATCTAAATAATTACTCTGTACTGTGGTCTGGAGCTTCGGTCCGGGATCTGACAGTGTAACACAATTTTCTGTGGCTTGTTCACTACCACCTGTAGCAGATGTCAGTACTCTTAATTTTATGGTGATTAACACTTCTTTTTATAGCAGAGAACAATTCAGTCCAGTCTTTTAGTTGTATTAGTTTAGAAATTTTAATGAATAACAAAAAAAGAAATGAGCTTTGTGAGTAAAGGAAGCACACAGGATCTTGCTACCCTGTTCTTTCTGAATCCTAACTCCTGCGTCACCCAGTCTTGTAGTGACAAATGAAAATGAATTGCTGATCTTGCTAGGTGAGCGGTAGCAAAGGGGTTTGTGCGTTGCCAGTAGCAAACCCATTGCTAGTCTGAGAAGTTGTGTCTGTGGTTAACGTGAAGTTTTTTAAAGCATTCTAGGCTTATGTTACACTTTAATGGGGGGAGCTCATGCAGGGGGTGGATATTAAGCATCTCTGAGTAAGAGAATTCTTGTGATAATGATGAAAAGCCACTGCTTTTCATAGCAATTGTGCCTGGAAATCCAGAAGGGAAAGAATACTGTGTTCCAATACATAATAATTTACAGTGGGAGAGGCCTTATGTTGTAGTTTTGGCACAAAGGGAAATTACTTTCCCGCAGGGAGGGTTTTTATAAATGAGAATGCAGACCTGTTGAATGCAGGTGGTGAAGAGTGCACAACAGTGGCATGGCTTGCCAAAGCCGCAAGGGCAGCATGGTTCTGTCTACCATGGAGTAGCTTCTTTCTGAGTGATTATTTTAGTATTAGTTCTGCCTAAACATTCTCGTGCTTATCTCCTTGTTCAGGATTTCTGAACGTGTGCGTAACTGAGTTTAGAAAGCTAAGTAAGCCACATGGGAGTTAGGTTTTCCTTAATTAATTGAATTTGGGCCCGAGACAGAGGAATTTGGGTCATGAAAATGTCAGATTTCTATCTCACTCAAGAAGCTCACCAATAGGAAAACAACATCTTTTATTTGCTTTGCATTTCTGAAGATATATCTCATGGCTTGGCCACTGTTGAGTTTTACTTGTCACTTCAGTGTTTTCGGTTTCCTGTGGTTGATAAGTTTTCAAGGGTGTGGATAACGTCATGTCTTAGAAGCTTGTGAACAGTGTTTCAGATTATTTGATTAGAACCCAGCCCTGTGGCCTCTGTACAGCTGTAGGTTGCAGAGGAACACATTTCCCAGGGAAGCTTTCGCTTCCTTTCGTCGAACAGGTTCTGCTTTGATTTCTTCAGAGACTGAATTGCAAGGTTTTGGGGGGTACTTTTCTATTAATGCCTTTGCTCATCACTTCCTCTTGTCATCCTTCTCAAGACTTTGGCACCAAGTTTTGTTTCCGGGAATATTTTTCATTAACTTTGCTCTTGCTGCTGTAGGAGGGGTTTTTTTCACCTATGCGTTGTGACTCAGAGCAGCCAGCCACCAGGCTGGGCAAGCCTTGCTCCTACCTGACATTGCAGGTGTTCTTTTTCGCACGAGAATTGAACAGACACGGCTAAGAGCAACCGGGCTAAACCAGTGCTGTATGACTAGGCAAGGCCGGGCACCTTCCTCTGCATTCCAGGTAGCCTGATTCACTGCTGGCTCTGTGGTGCCTTGTCTCAACTGAAACACTGAGCAACACCTTGCAGCAGGGATGTAAACGTGCCGGCAGGTTTTGTGTGTTCTTTTTATTCTATTTAAATTTCCCGTTGAAAAATTAGGTGGCTTCCTACTGAGGAAAATCTTAAAAAGGTTTATCTGCATGCCCAGGTATTTTTACATTTTTAAATATCAAACCAGAAACAAGAGTATCCAGGCTGTTTATACAGTCCTTCATTGAGAGGGTCTGGAATTCATGTTCATCTGCGATCCTTGACTTTTCTGCTGTATGTGGAATAAATCTGTCAAGTAAACGTAGAAGCCAGTTATGCAAAAAAATCATTCATAAGCACAGACTGTTCCTGTTTATTGCGGAGGTGAGGGTAGACTTCAGCATTTGAGGTTCAGTTTTTCAAGTTACAGACCTATTTGTGTCTTTTTGAGATATGTCAAGTATGTATGAGTCTGTAGAATACTAATGCTAGTATGTTCTGCTGTGCTTTTGCAGATTTACACTTTGGACATAGATAAACCTGAAGACTGTTGGAAGAAATTTGCTTCAAATCGTACTGTAGGAGTTCTGCTCTTCACAGGGATTGTGCTTGGAAACCTGTGGAAGCAAAAAGACTCAAAAAATGTAGAAGAGCCTTTAGAAAATAGGTAGTTGAAATTACTATAAATACTGATATTTTAGTACAGCTAAAATGCAAGTACTGTGAGAAGGAAAACTCTTTTTATGTAACTATAGTTGCTACGTACCGTTTATTTATAAAAACTGGTGAAAACATTCTTGTTTCTAAAAACATGCAAATGAGATTATCCTACCATATAAGTTTTGATTATCCCTAAATGACTTCAATCTCCACAGAAGCTGCAGCAAGTGAATCTGCTCCGCTCATCCTGTGTAGTACAAGCAAACTTCTGTCAAGCTCTCAAGACCACGAACCCAAGATTTTATACAAAACTGATGTCTCTTAGTGACAGCACGTGGAAAATGCACAGTGATTTCAGGATGCAAATAAAATCTGGCTGTAGATGTTTGGTGTTCTGATTTATTACGTGAATAATTTTCAGTGTGACTTGGAGCTTGTTGTGTGAAAGAATTGCAATATTGTTTTTATCCTGAGATGTCTGGAAGCAGCCAGGACTCGCTGAGTGTGTGAGGTCCAGAATCTTATAGAGAAGTATTTCAATGACCTTTTGCTCTTGCTGTGATTGCTAACAGTGGTTACTTTTCACGTGAAAAGAACAGGCCTCTGAAGTTGTCTGCACAGGGTGAAGTGAGGTTGTTCACCAAGAATGGCTTGGCAGACTACTGTCTTAAAATTGAACTAGAGCAGCCCAGAGCTATTGCCAAGCGTGCGTGCTTGGTGGTTGACCCAGAGCTGCGAGCTCATCCTGCAAAGTCATCCTCATTTTTTTTCACTTCTGGTTTTTTGTTCTGTTAGTTTTGTCTTGTGCCTACTGGTTTTATTTGTAGTCTTACGGGAAGAACTTCTTTATACGAGGATGCCTATGAACAATAAAAATAGCAGCTGCAGGCTAACGATTACATTGCTCCAAACCATTCATGTTTTCAACTCGTTTATGCTCTACCAGCTAAATGATTTGCACGGTAGTTAACCTTTTCTTTGACTCATGGTGGTAAAGAGCTTGCATGGCGTGTTGTGCAGTAACTTCTGTGGAAGGAGCAACGGACACGCCTGTTCTAGGAAAATACTCTAATACCGTGGAGTTTACCTCAGTTTACATACTGGTAGGCAGTGCAGCCGTGCTTTGCTCCAGGGGTGCCTTTGCATGTGCCTGCACGCAGGACTGTGTTTCAGTTAGGTTGCCAAACTCATTGTGGTATTCCAGCAACCTTTCCTGATGTCTGCTCTGCTCCTTGAGCGGTGGGGCACAACGCTGCATGTGGTCACACCAAAACTACCCCTGCATACCGCTGTAGCACTGAAGATGGGTATCGTGTTTTAAGGTGATTTAAACTGATGTGTCTGAGAGACGTTTCAGTCCAGAGCCACGCGTTGAGGGTTTGCAGATGGTAGTTCTGCGTTACCGATGATGGTGAACTGGTGAAGAAGTTCCCGTTGCAGGGAAATGAGACAGTCAACGGCTTTGGTCACAGAAGGTCCTTTTTGGGTCTGGAGCAGACTTCTGTGGGTTCCAGACACTTCTTTGTCATGTACACCTTGTAAAGTTGTTACTGCTTTATTTTTAAAACAGTGATGTTTAATATGTTCTGAGCAAACTAAAGTAGATTTTTCAGCTTGACTTCACATAGAAATAAGTGAAAATGTTAGGAAGCATAACTGCTCGTAGGGCCCCCTTGGTCCTTTCATAGACATTGTTCTTAAATATGGTTTATAATTTTGGGGTGGAGGAAGTACGAAGTTGAAGAAAAGCAGTTTAAAAATGAAGAGTAGTAAGTTTCTGAACAACTGCGTGACAAAGTTGCATTTCTGTAGGGCAAGAATTGGATGCATCCAACTTCGTGTCGAACTTTGGTTATGAGGCATTTACTAGTAATAAAAAAAGTCTTCTGGTGTCATCAGTGTGAATCTCTTTCTTCATACTTGTAATACTACCTTAGAGAGGTTGAGGAAAAAGTCCGTTTTTAACCTATTCAATTGTCTTTAAGTAGCTTGGATTTGGGAAAAGCTCACACTTTGTAATGCCGTTGAACCTACTGGTGTCCTTTGACCGATGGCAGCTTGCCACAAGCGTTGATCTTGTAAAGAGAGGAAGAAGGTGGTGTTGCTACATAGAGTAGAAATTAAAGTTTCAAAACAATCCTCATGTCCTAATCTTGAAAATCATTGCGTGTTTTCTGTGAGGGTTTTCCAGATGCATTTTACAAGGATAAGCTACAGCTGCATTTTAGGTTCGTTGCCTGAAAAATGAGGCAAGGTTTACGTTCTAGGCTGTAATACTGAGAGGGTTATTTGCATGAGCATTCTATGATTAATACACAGAAATAACTTTTTAAGTGCAAAAGAAGTAAAGGCTGAATTACTTCCTGGCTAAAACCCTGTTTGTATCTGCTGGAGGGTATAGGTGCATGTCCTCTCTTACCCTTCCACTCCCAAACTATTCTATTCCAAATCTGCATGAAGACACACTGTGCTCTGTTTAGATAGTCAGTTAAAAATTTCTCAAATACATCTGTCTCTGAGCAGGAGCTTAATTATTAGCTAGTCTGCTTCTGCACAAAAATACGGTGTCCTCGGGAAGTTTCTCCTCCACTGTCAAATGTTGCATTTCTCCTCCCTTTCCTTTTCCAAACGTTCCTCTGCAGGACGTTGAGATAACAGATGCTTTTGGAAGCAGCAAGAAGGTCAAACGTGCCTTGCCAAGGCAAATGTGACACGCTGGCGGTTGCTCAGTGAAACACAAAACTAACCAACACAAGTTTGCCTTCGTCCAGGAGCAGCTGTACGTATGTAGGGGTGCTAATTCCTGTGGGGATGCGCGGGCCGGGGGGTTGCCAAGGCATTGTCAGCCCTTTGTGGCGCGGCTGGATCTTTGACTTGGAAGCCCGCTTGGGACAGTGGCATGTCGCAGCTTACACAGTCACCTTTGCCAGGGGAGGGACTCGCCATGGGGTCATCCAAAGCTAATGGTGCCTGGGTTTTGCTCTTTGTGTATTTCTTGGTAAATATATCGTTAATGCAAGCGGGTCAGATTTTTCCCTTCCTCTAGTTTCAGGGAAGTATGTGCTGCGGGAACCTAGGTAAGGAACTGTGGTGTGCAAGCAGCATGGCCTGAAGGACGTGGGACAGCTGGCATGGCTGGAAGGCAGGCTGGCCACAGCGGATCACCACGTCAGGTGTAGCACCAGCCATGGGTACCACAACGTGGGAAGGAAAAGGCGGCTCGACTCAAAGTCAGAAAGGTGTGCCAGCCTGTGGAAAGATCAGAGCATCCTGTGGGCTGAAGTTACTTAACAGTCGGCTGAAAATTAAGGTAATCCATCACCTCTACCAGCATGGCATTGTGGTTAGCCAGTGTCCAAGGAAGACACTGGCAGAACAACTGTTGGGATGAAGGACCGGTGTGGTAAACAGAAGTGGGATAACGTAGTTTGTGGGCAGTTCTTTGGTTTTCCTTGTGGTGAAAGCAGGGAAAGGGCTGTTAACTTGTTTCTAAACCCACCACAGTGCAAATACCAGGAGAGAAGATCTGTTTAAGCTTCAAAACAGCTGACAAGGAATGTGGATGTTAACCAGCCATGGATAATGTGAAGTTCTGGTACGAGCTGAAGGCTCCTGGCATACTGGAGAGGTGAGTTCCCTGTAGTGCCTCCCTGTAGTCTGTGACGGAGGCAAAAGGCCAGAGCAAATTTTAACACAGTGTGTGCTAGATACAGTACCAGAATTACAAAGGAAATTGCATAAAACCTCTTTGGTTTCACAGCACTTTTTCTGGGTGATGGTGTTTAAACCACCTACCCCCAGCGAGGCAGCTGTACACAAGCGGTTTTGTCTGAGCTAAGCGGGAAGAGGTCTAATACAATTACAAAACCAACAAGAAGAAACAGTGTTCACATGCCAAGTACAGAACTTGTAACAATACAGCTTTAATTTTTGGAAGAGTGAGCGGAAATCCCTGCCCTAATGAGGGGGAAAAAAACCCAAACCCCACCCCTGAATGTTTACACCAAGAGAACACAAATCCTCTGAATTGCAGAGCTTCTTGAGTATGACTGGTAGAGTGTCAAAGAGAAATACCTACTTTAAAATACGTTGCTGCAGCTGCATACCTATCAGAAGCAGGCCTGTAACAAGCTGTGAGGGCAAGGTGGGGAGGAAAGCAACTGTATGCCCATTCAGCAGCTCTCCCCCCTTTTTTTTTTCTTTTCCTGGACTGACGTCGAAGTATTGTTCAGCTCTGAATGAAAAGTGTATTGAAGGGAAATAATTACAGCTTGAAGTTAACCCTGCAGGCAACAGCGCATGCATATCATGAGGGGACTGCTTTGAGCAGAAACTTCAACAGTGTTAAGTGGCTGCTTAACAAAAAGACCAGGGTGCATTCTGTGCTGGCTGTCACATCGTAGCATGGCCAAATATTTATCAAACTGATTTCCCAGCTTCATCAGAACTCATTTTCCCTGAAAGTGCTGTCATGCTATTAACCACTTCTTGAGGAAATACAGAAATTGAACTTAAAGTACTGGAGAGAAAAATGAAGGCAAGCTGACTTTATGTGCACCATAATGTGTCTTTTGGCAATACCTGCATTAATGTTTTGCTTCATTTAAGCATTGGTTGGAAAGGACCGTAAAGAATTTATTTGCTGAGTGTTGGCATGATGCTTTATTTCTTTCCCCACGCTTCCACATGCATGACAGCACAAAGTGGATGCAGCAATGCAATAAATGAAAAGCACTATAAATAATAATGCATTCTCCTGGAGAAACTATCTGCTTGTGGCCTGGATGGGTGTACACTTTGCTGTGTAAAACACTGGCTGGATGGCCGGG